AAATTAGCTAATCCATATGAGTTGTAGCTATTGTTATCAACATTTGCAAAATCTAAAAATCCTGCATATTGAGAATAACAGAGAACATGTAGTGGTGTATTACCATTAGTGTCAGTAACATTTAAGTCAATTATTTTATCTTTACACAATTTATCAAACATTCTGGGATTCAGTTTCGCCAGAATATGAAAAGGTATCCAATGCCCCTTATTAGCAATATTAGTCTTGCAATTTGGAAAACTACCTACTGGTTTTAGAGTGTATAGGGTGTATATGACCAGCAAGAATATAAAATACTGACTCATTAATGGACATGCATGTACCTACTGAATCAAAAGTAAATATTCTACTCCACTCAATCATGATCTTTTCTGTTCCTTATAATTTGTAGAAAGACTGGCTAGGGCATTACAAGTAGGAGAGTACAAAATTAAACTATTTTTATTACATGTTAACAATACAGAGGTTATGCAAATAGCAATTTTGCTATAATGATATAAATATAATTTTGTTCCCACTTTAATTCACTTCTCTTTAATCTAATGATGGAGTCTATTGTTGCTAAGAATACACCAGTGAGAGAATTTAAGAAACAAATTATTGAAGAAGCAAGAGTACAAAGAATTGACTGTGTCCTTGAATTAGACAAGTAAGTACATCATGTGGCTATCATGCGACTATCATTTGACTTATTGTGTAGAAAGAGATTACTAAAGAAGAATTGAAGGTCACCTGGTAGAGTGTATCTTGATCATCAATTGATTGAGAGATATTCATATATATGCTGGTAGTGAAATGTATATGGAAATATTGAAAGGTCAGTATTTTAAATAATGAGGGTATTATTCTCATACTCTAATAGAACCTGAAAAGATGAAGCTCCCAACACAGATGCATGCAGGTGTATGTTAGAAGATGGTGTCCGTCAGAATTTTCAGTTGATCCAACAGAAGAAGTGATTCTAAAATAATGCTATGTAACTTTTTCCTTTAGTTTTCAGAGTTAAGTGGAGTTCCTGTTGATGCCATTTCTGTTGCAACAGTTAGCAACTGATATTTCACTATCAGCCAGTTATTTTCCTTTAAAAGTATTTGAGATCATTTCCAGCTGAGATATCACATCTTGATATTAAGAATGAGTTGGAATGGAATCAAGCATCACTGTATGATGCTGATGGAGATGTCATTTTATTACAAGTACACTATAATAGAATTGCTCTCGTAATAATTATACTGTTATTTTTAGAGACAATAGAGAACAATTGAAGGAGATCACAACTGAAGAGAGAGCAGAATTCAAAATGACAGAAAGCAAAAGGTCTGTTGCATAAGACCAATACTGGAGTAGCCAATAAGCTGTCTTGCATCCTGCATATGGTTTTATGTGTATGTTCATCTTTAGGTTATAGTGTTGCTGTTTATGGTATTGGGTCATTGTATGATGTTCCAGGAGACAAAGAGGATGAAGATTGAGTACATTTAGTGGCAAAGTGTGCTTGTAGGCTGTCTCCCTTCTTCAGCTATTGGTGATATTATTTTAGATCCAATTGTGGTTGCATTGTCTTTTTGAGCTTTGGTAGCTTTATTATCATGATCATCATTATAATTATTATCTTTGTTGTTATTTTCTTGTATAAAAATGATATACATTTGATCAAATAAAAATTACTCAATGTCTATATCATTTAAGCAAAAGATGGACAACATTTTCAAAAGACTATAACTCATAAAATTAAAGCAATTTGTCAAAACTTTCTGCATAGTATAAGTACATCAATATATTTTTAAAATGTAATGAAAATTGTGGGTAATTTTTGAGCCATTTTTTTAACCATGGGCAATGTACAGGGATTTTTTCAGAAACTGCATGGCCGGTGTTAAAAAATTTTCATAACTCAAAAAATTTAAGCTGGAATCTGTTCAAACCATCTGTATACATGTCTTAAGTACATCAATATGTATTACAAAATGTATTAAAAATTAGGGGTGATTTTTGAGCCATTTTTGGGAAAAAAACATGGGCTTTTGAACATAATTTTGAAACATCATGACCCATGATGGGCCATAATGTTTTGAAATACAAATTAATTAATCCTATCCAGTCTCAAGGTGTAGCCTTGAGACTGAATATGAGAGAGGAGAGAGTCACCCCATGCAGGCATACTGACAGTCATTGTGGAAGAGAAAGAGATGGATCCAAACTTGAATCTAAACTACATACACCATACACAGCCAAGAATTTTACTTTGAATCATGACTGATATCAATAGGATCAGCCTTGATACATTCCTGTATCATGGTTTGGGGTAGCCTGCAAAGCAATGAGTCCAGAATGAATGATACAATCGTGATAACCATCCATTGTCCATGATTTGATCAACCATGCTGGAGTGCGGCCCTGACATGATTCAACATTGATGCCAGTCAGGGCGGTACCGTATCAAAATAGACATCAGGCTTGAATCATTGATTTTGGGTAGTGGCCTGTATTAGAGATAATAATTCTTGGCCGTGTACACAGTAACCGGCGGGGTGGAGCTGATCACTGATCATGCAGTCCATGGTGGGCTGGCTTAGTCTGTGTCCTGGCAAAGATGAAGCAGACCATCTTCATGTCAGGGGCGAGACACCAATCTAAAAGTGGGGGGCTCATGTTCATTAATTCAATTATGTTTAAAATAATCCAAAAATATGATGCGTTTATCAAAGTTATCAGTAATTTGCTTATGTAATAGTAAGCAATGAATTTGAGGCAGCTGCTATAACACTAAAAAGCTAGCTAAATTAAATAATAGCATCTTCTAATAACATAAGTAACTAAAAGTGAGGGCAGTGCCCCTCCTGCACTCCTGCTGCCTTGCATCAAAATTAAGAGTGGGGGGACTCTGCCCCTTCATCAAAACTGGGGGGCTCAGCCCCCCTTGCCCCCCCCAGATCCACTGCATGGAGAAGAAGCTGAGAGCTGCCCAAGAACAAAAGGAGCAGTTGAAACTTCTGGCGGAGAGTGGAGCTGGAAGTGAATCAGTGCGAGAAATGGAAGCTCTGGAGAAAGATCTGACGTTGCGGAAGGAGAGCGATAGAAAGCGGATTGTTTGAGCTACCGGCGGAGGGAACTGCTCGAGGAAGAGCTACCACGTCCACAGCTGCAGACCGCTGAACTAGAGAAACAGAAATGGGAGGCCAGAGGAGAGGAGCTCGATGGTTAAGAGAAGAGCGAGCTGGAGGCGAAGCTAGAAACCTGAGCAACTGGAATACACAGTGGAGTCGTCGATCTCTGGCTCCTTGGACGAGACAGGGACCGAGTGAACGGTAGAAGGATGCCTTCCCATTCATGATGCTTAACAGTTATCAGTGCTGCCGCCCTTTAAAGGAGCGAAGGAGGATGCTGAAGAAGACTCGTTTGAGGAATGGGTTGACCGCTTCAAGGAAATGGCAGTCTAATGTAGATGGGACGACCATAAAAAGCTAACACAGCTTCCATTGAGGCTGGAAGGCCCCGCTAGATCCTCTACAAGCCTTGCAGTGATTGAGTCTGAGAAGAGGAGCTATGATGCTCTGAAAGCAGCTCTTGCTAAAAGATTTACTCCCGTTCGACTAACAGCAGTACAGATCAGTATGTTTTATTAGAGGAGACAAGGTTCGAAGGAGTCAGTTGATGAGTATGCGTATAGGAGTTGAGGAAGTTATTCTATATATAAAGGTTTTGAGTCTGGATTGCATAAGAAGCTGACTGGGATAGAACGGAACTTCGAGGAGTTGGTGTGTAAGGCTCGCTTTGAAGAGGCAAAGTGGAAGGAGACAAACCTTGGATGGACCATAGATACAACACTGGAGGTACCAATGAATGGTATCAACGGACACACTGGAGACGATCTCTGGCTCCTTGGCCGAGACAGGGACCGAGGGAGCGGTAGAAGGATCTGTCTCCCCCATTCATGATGCTCAACAGTTACCAGTGCTGCCGCCCTTTAAAGGAGCGAAGGAGGATGCTGAAGAAGACTCTTTTGAGGAATGGGTTGACCGCCTCGAGGAAATGGGAGTACGGTGTAGATGTGACGACCATAAAAAGTTAACACAGCTTCGATTGAGGCTGGAGGGTCCCGCTAGATCCTTCTACAAGTACAAGTCTTACAGTGAGTCTGAGAAGAGGAGCTATGATGCTCTGAAACCAGCTCTTGTTAAAAGATTTACCCCTGTTCGACTGACAGCAGTACAGACCAGCAGGGGAGACAATTAAAGTTTGAATGAGTCAGCTCATGAGTATATATGCTTAGGAGTTGAGGAAGTTATTATATAAAGCATATCCCCCAACCTATCATGGGACTCCAGAAGCAGAATTATTAAGAAGAGGAGTGTTCTCTCTAATCAATCTGTTGTAGAAGGGAATTTCGAGGACTTGGTGTGTAAGGCTCGCTTGAAGAGGCAAAGTGGAAGGAGACAAACCTTGGGACAGAAGAGAAACCAAGGGGAAAAAAGCCTCCAAGGAAACCTAGTGATGACTCTGAAGAGAAATAAAGGGGGCTACAAGTGCCATCGATGTGGCAGTACACAACACTTTATTCAGGACCGTCCATTCGAAGGATGGGGAGCAACAAAAGAAGCTAGGTCTTATTTTGTAAATGGTAGGTTCATTACATGTACTATAATCTTGTTATGTCATCACAACAAGACTATAATGTCCCATCCTATGCCTCCCCTAGCATGATTAATATTGTGTTATGTCTGTGCATATGTCACTTCACGTAATAATGCATCTACGTTTTCTAAAATCTGTATAAACATTTGTTCCCTAATTAAGATTGGTTTAGAACTTGCTCTTTGTGTGTCTTGTGAATTTTAAGATTCAAATTTAAATTTTAAATATTCAATTTTAAAATAAAATTTAATTTTAAATTTACAAGTTGTTTGTCCTAATGTTATCATAAGATCATGTTAACTTGTATTCCTTTTCTTTTGATTAGGAGAGACTAATATAATCTGCCTTGCTAACTGTGATGGCCAGTCATGACCACGTCCACGGCTGCAGACCGCGGCAGAACTAGAGAAACAGAAGTTGGAGGCCAGAGGAGAGGAGCTTGATGGTTAAGAGAAGAGCGAGCTGGAGGCAAAAACCTGAGCAACTGGAATACACAGTGGAGACGTCGATCTCTGGCTCCTTGGACGAGACAGGGACCGAGTGAACGGTAGAAGGATGTCTTCCCATTCATGATGCTTAACAGTTACCAGTGCTGCCGCCCTTTAAAGGAGCGAAGGAGTATGCTGAAGAAGACTCGTTTGAGGAATGGGTTGACCACTTCAAGGAAATGGCAGTCTAATGTAGATGGGACGACCATAAAAAGCTAGACGTCTAACACAGTTTTCATTGAGGCTGGGGGGCCCCGGCGCTAGATCCTTCTACAAGCCTTGCAATGATTGAGTCTGAGAAGAGGAGCTGTGATGCTCTGAAAGCAGCTCTTGCTAAAAGATTTACTCCCGTTCGACTAATAGCAGTACAGACCAGTATGTTTCATTAGAGGAGACAAGGTTCGAAGGAGTCAGTTGATGAGTTTGCTTATAGGAGTTGAGGAAGTTATTCTATATATAAAGATTTTGAGTCTGGATTGCATAAGAAGCTGACTGGGATAGAATGGAACTTCGAGGAGTTGGTGTGTAAGGCTCGCTTTGAAGAGGCGAAGTAGAAGGAGACAAACCTTGGATGGACCATAGACACAACACTGGAGGTACCAATGAATGGTATCAACGGACACACTGGAGACGATCTCTGGCTCCTTGGCCGAGACAGGGACCGAGGGAGCGGTAGAAGGATCTGTCTCCCCCATTCATGATGCTCAACAGTTACCAGTGCTGCCGCCCTTTAAAGGAGCAAAGGAGGATGCTGAAGAAGACTCTTTTGAGGAATGGGTTGACCGCCTCGAGGAAATGGGAGTACGGTGTAGATGTGATGACCATAAAAAGTTAACACAGCTTTGATTGAGGCTGGAGGGTCCCTCTAGATCCTTCTACAAGTACAAGTCTTACAGTGAGTCTGAGAAGAGGAGCTATGATGCTCTGAAACCAGCTCTTGTTAAAAGATTTACCCCTGTTCGACTGACAGCAGTACAGACCAGCAGGGGAGACAAATAAAGTTCGAATGAGTCAGCTCATGAGTATATATGCTTAGGAGTTGAGGAAGTTATTATATAAAGCATATCCCCCAACCTATCGTGTGACTCCAGAAGCAGAATTATTAGGCAAGAGGAGCATTCTCTCTAATCAATCTGTTGTAGAAGGAAATTTCGAGGACTTGGTGTGTAAGGCTCACTTGAAGAGGCAAAGTAGAAGGAGACAAACCTTGGGACAGAAGAGAAACCAAGGGGAAAAGAAGCCTCCAAGGAAGCCTAGTGATGACTCTGAAGAGAAATAAAGGGGGCTACAAGTGTCATCGATGTGGCAGTACACAACACACTTTATTCGTGACTGTCCATTCAGAGGATGGGGAGCAACAAAAGAA